CAATATTGAAGTTGCTATTGTATTCCATTTGTTTCTGTTGTTACTATTATATCCCAGTTTTTTGTAATACACCAGTTAAACCAATTGTCTCTTTTCTAATCATTTATCAATCCTTGAATGTTGTAAATTATTATTTATCAGATAATATTCTTGGAATTATTTTATATTTAAATTGCTATGTTATTTGTTTTTAGTTGCATTATTGTTTAATTAGTTGAGTAATTTAATGTTAAATTGTTGGTATTAGTTATAGATTCTTTTGATTCTTGACTTATTGATAAATGAATGTGATTTTGAATGTGTTTAGAGTATTTATTAAAATATTAAATATCTTGTCCATATTTTGATCTAATTTATTTATTGTAAAGTAGATACATTATTATTTTTGTTAAATGTTCTATAGGTTTTTTGATTATTTCTCTATGTTTTTCATTGAAATTCTTGAAATCTTGTTCGTATCTTGCTTCTTCTTTATCTATTTTATATATTTTTTATTATAGTTTTCTAGTCTAATAATATGTTCATCAAATTTGCTATGTCTTCTTTTATTTTTTTAATTTCTTGCTTTATTTTTCTAAAAATTTTCAAGATTTCTTTTATTATGTTTTCTTTCTTTATTTTCTGGAATTAATGATCTCTTGATATCTACTCAAGTCTGGCTGCCACTGTATATAATCCTAGTTTGTAGGTTTATAATTCTATTTTGACAAATTTCTAATTACTCCTATATATACTGATCTGTATTTAATATATAATTTGTCAAAATGTTTGGCTTGATTAGAATAATATTGCTTCTATTGTACTTAGCATTTCTTTAAAAAATAGTTAGCTATCATGTATTCAGTACTGCTACAATGACTATATAGCTTAGTCTCAATAAGTTTCTATTCAATTACTGTTTCTTCTAGTTAAAAGTCTTTTCTTAAAGTAATTTTTCTTGTTGTTTCATTCTCAAAGTTAATTATTATAAATATTTTTCTTTTGTATGAAAGATATTTAAGAATGTAACAAATTTTTGCTTTGATTTGTTTTATATTTGTCTTAAATCAAATGCTATTGTATTTGATAATAAGTTGATAAGTTTGACTACTATAGTATCTCTTTCTTTTATTTGTTTTATATTTCATAGTATATTAAAGATTCTTATTAAGTTAAATCTGAAAGGGATGCTCTACTTACTAATTATTGATTTTTTTTATTAATATAGGTTATTATTGCCATTTGTCATATTTGTTAAGTGGCCATAATTATATTGATAATTTTTTTATATTTAATAAATACTATCATATTTCAATGAATTTAACTTCTAGGAAAATATTCCACATTATGATACTGTTTTTTTTTTTTATATTAGAAATATTATCTTTATATGTTTCAGGTACATATTGACTATATTTAATAAAATTATATTGTATACCTTGTCTATAGCTAGTTTATTTTCAAAAAAAATTATAATATATTCATTTATATTTTTTCTTTCGCTAAAAATTATCATTAAATCTTTTAAGGAATTAAGGTTTCTAGAAGAAAAGTGATCTTTTAACTTGTTATTTTGCCTGGTCTTAATTTTGATCTTAGCTCTTTCTCTTTTAAATTTGGTTCTTTTATCGGTAAGGATTCTGGATTTTAATTTGCAAAAATGTATTCATTAGTTTTTTTCTTTTTTTGCAAGATATTTGCCATTTCTTTTTTTAGATTTAATTGGTCTGATAAAAGTCCTCTTTATTTTTTTTTTATTTTTATTTCTATATTAAAATTATCAATTCTTGCTTATTATAACTGTTTTCTTTATTGTTTGCCTAAGATATTTCTTGGATTCTCTTAATCAAATATAGTTTTATTGATAATTGAATTTAATTAAATTTTCTCTTCCACTTGTTCATTTTAGAATATATTATTCATTGTTTTCATATATTTTTCATTATTAGAATCTTGAATAGTCAATTGTTAACTTGCATTGGAACTATTTGTTTGTTTCTCAAGATTGTTTCCTTTTTATAAAACTATTTTTTCTTTATTTTGTTTGGTTTTTTTCCAGGCTTTATATTTAATTCTTTATATATGTTTCTTGTGTTACCCTTTATCAAAAAGCTTTTATTGTAGTTGAATCACTTTATACTATATTGTTTTCTAAATTCCCTAGGAGAGCTCATCTCTTCTATTCACTTTATTTTTTTTTTCAAAAATCAACAAAAAAGGAAATTTTTAAGAAAAAGGATTTACAGAAAAGTTTTTTTTTTGTTATTATAACTTAAATAAAGAAATATTTTATCAATAACAATTATTAAACTAATATGTTTTAGATTATACAATATAAAGTATGACTTGAGATATCAGAATGTAACTTTTTTCACTGATCCTTTATCCACATACAAAAAAGATGTTTATAAGAAATTTTTTTATTTCTTTACTAATAAAGTTTAAACACTATTCTTAAATTAATTTGAAGTTTTATTCAAAAAATATTTCTAAATATCTTTCTTGTTTATATTTGTCTTCAAACAAAAACTTGATTTTCTGTGATCTAAAAAAGGCAAGAAACATCTTCTTTACCTATAATAAGAAAGTTCTGTAAGAAAGAAGAACTAATAATATAGTATTCAAAATCTTTTATATTGAAGAATATTTATAGAGATTTTCTGCAGTGAAAGATGTCAAACATTAAACCATATTTTCAATATACTGCTCACTGTTTTTTTCTTTTTATAATCATTCAAAAATTTTTTTGATTTTCTAGGAAATTTTGTCTATCTTAATTTGATTCTAAATTTTAGGTAACACAATCTATTGCAAAATATGATTGGTGAAAATGAAACATGTTAATAGCTGAATATAAACAAGTCCCTATTGGTTATTTTATATATTCTAATAATATCATTAGTGATTGAAAGAGTTGATTGGTACTCTATATCCACTTCACTTCTCCAATTGAGTTAATCTACAGATCAATTTTTATGAGGTCAATAAGATACAAGCAACAAGTCCCCAGGTGATGAAAAAGCTATTATTTGTTCAAGCTGAGGTCTATTTTTCTATCATCCTGATTAGATAAAGTTCAAAACTAAGGTTTTCTTTTTATTTTAATTAAGCAATAAGACTGAATAGTCTCTAGTTTATACTAAGTTTCAATCTTTTGATTACAGCTGAGAATACATTTTTCTAGAAGTTATTGAAGAATATCACAATTGACAAGAATTCCCATCACTTTTAAGACCCTCACACCATTACAAGACAAAAGGATTGTTGGAAAATCTGACCTTTTGGATAATAGAAGATATATATTAGTAAAATTCCTTTAACTAGGTGTGACTTTTGAAAGGTATTATACTAAAACAACATAATCCAGTTCTTACTAAGTTACATAAAAACCTGGAGTCCATCATAAGTCACCTCTCTATCATAGGTGAATAAAAAATCATTACTCAAAAAAGATTGGGATTAAATGTATCCTGAAAATAAAGGTTTTCACTAGGTGATAAGTCTCCTCAGATAGTATATGAGAAGGAAATCAATATCAAGAATAGATAAGTTCTTCAAATAGTCAGGAAAAGAAGGGATATTCTAATTAGGCATTTCTTATTGAGAAGAGATCTTAAGAAATAGGTCTTTGGAAGAAGCTGAAAATCTTCTTTTTTCAAATTTTTACCTTTTCATTTTCTTATTGTCTATTTAGATATCCTCATTTTCTTTTTTTTTTCAACCTATTCTTTTGTGGTTTCCTGTATTCCAGTGACTTGGTAAGACATACAGCAGTGATAACCTGCTAGCAATGATGCAGTGGATTAGGAGGGTTTTCACCCAAAGACACTGCAGAGCAAAATATTATCCTCAAGGTTGAACTTAGAGGCTCTTATGCTTACAATGAGTTAGTTAGATTAGAATAATAGTTTAACTGTAATATGTATCATGCTGCTTGAATGAAAATGTACTTATGTTTTCAATTGATTAATAAACTGACAATCTAGCCTGGCTACGAGTACTCGAAAAAAAAAAAAAAAAGTATGACTTGAGATATCTTTTTAAAAGAATAGCAAATAATAATATTATTATTTTTCTTTCTCGTGTAATTTCTTAACTTAATTCTTAAGATACAGTATGTTGATAATAAAATTATTTACTATAATAAAAAAATAAATATACTGCCGTCATTACTTTTCGGTTCAACTGTATTTTTGCAATGTTAAGTGCTATATAGTAACGTGAACAAATAGACCTTAAAGGTACTGTAACTATTCACGCATAGATGAAATACGCAAATACAAAAACGGCTATCATTAAATAAACATGGAAATATGAATTCCTGTAAAGTATAAGGAATAAATAAAATATGCTTTATAAATATAACCAATCTTTATATAATAAAAGATACATACGAATTTATTTGAGGTGGTAGCTTGAATTTAGGTTTAGCCACAAGAGGCATCTTGCCGACCTCGGTCCACTTTAACACCGAGTAGTGTTCCTCTTTTAACGGAAGAGTTTCGCCGGTTGCTGTTATAAATGAGTATGTACTTTCTTTAAAATTTAAAGAAGATGCAAAATCACTAGACGAATAAGATATTTGATCGGATATTTTAGAGGTTTGATTTATTGCATTGTCGATTGCTTTTTTAATGAATTCTCCGGAATGCTTATGTGCTATTTTGGCAGGTGCACTGGAGTCAAAAGACTTTTTTTTTTAAAAAAAAAAATAATATATATTTGAATGCGTTATTTTGGACGGAGGCCCGAAAACAACATACACAACTCACGTGGAACATATGCGGCATGCCTTGATAAATTTCCAATGTTACATTTGTTGGCGTCTTGAACGGAGATTTCTTAAAATTTTCAAGATTGTATGAAGGCAAATTATATTTCTCCGGCTGACTAGCCTTAAACGAAAAATAGATTGTTTCGTCTCTAAATCTTTCTCCATCACCAATTTGCTAATAAAGAAGTATGTAAATTTATATTTTTTATTAAAATGTTGTTTAAAGAGAACGCAAATACTGTAGCACTCACTATTAATATTGGTGGGAGCCCCGCTAAACTCGTAGCACACATAGGACTTACGTAAGGCACAGACAATGCCTCGTTAGGTGCATATAAATGCACCCGTTCGCTAAGATTAAATGAATTATCCCAAAATTGGGGTTTACTTTCCTTTTTAATGCACTTTGACAAGATGTCTGATTTACGATAGAAGTCATCTAAGGCGGGGGAGGGTTCATTAATGAAGAGGTTCTCGGGGAGGATGTCGGTAAGATAGAAAAGGGGATTTTGAAATGAAGGCATACTATTAGTTAAGTCTACCCAGGGTGACTGAGTGAGATGGAACATTTTTGAAGTCAGATGCTTATTCAAAAAAAAAAAATTTTGTTATTATTATTATTAAAAATCACAAACCCAACCAACTAATCCAGCGACCATCGGCAATCCAGTATCTCTTAATGCCAATCCTAAGGCCATAGCCAAACCACCACCCGCACTATCACCCATTATAACAATTTGTTTAGGATCAATTGCTTCAAAACCTGCGTTTTCAGGTGGATCTATCAGATAGAGATAAGCAGCAAAGGCATCGAGTATGGCGGCTGGAAATTGGTACTGAGGCGCTAGTCGGTAACTTATTGCTTTTTAAATAGAGATTAAATAAGAGTAGGATAAAGTTTAGGCGAATGTAACTACTTATGAGTTAAAATGTTGAAATCAGAATGAAATATCTAAGTTGAAATAACAGTTGAAATTTAGAGACACGATAAATATTATATATTTTTACGTATATACCCACCAAACACCAAAGCATCAGCTTCCCTGGCAATTTTTGTAGTGAAACCTCGGGCAGAATCTGCGTGACCTAAGAAATAGGCACCTCCATGTAGATAGAGAATTACCCTCTTGCTATTACCCTTCCTCTTAAACCCTCGTTCTCTTAAATATATCCATTTCGCGTTCAACCATCTTTTACTTCCTGAAATATTATCCTTTTCTTCTCTCTGATCTATTTCATTTTCATCCTCTAACTCTTTCCACTCATCTAGCACATGCTCATATTCGTTTAAAATCTTTTCCAAATAAGGTTGAGCACGTCTCCTATATTTATTAGAGATCGCCACTTCTTCTTCGTTGAAATCCGCGGGCAATGGAGGACCCATTCGCAAAAATTGTTGCACTTCTTCTATTGTCTGGTTCATAATATCTTCTGATATGGACTTTCGCAGGGCAAACAATAGATGGAACGGAAGGTCCCATGATGGTTGAGGAGGACCCTTTATGTAATGTTTAATGGCGGCGGAAACTACCACGCCTATTTTAGGAACTATTAGCTTGAGCTTATTCATCTTTTTATCTTAAAATTGAGTGTTATAAACGGATTCTATAAAGTAAAGGAATCAAAATTATCTTTGTTATCAGAAGCTCTGAAATCTAATTATTAAACTCTGCAACTATTTTATATTAACTCCTGTGCATTTCTTTCACGACAGACACAAAAGACACGATTATATTTTTGAAGGCGACCCGTTTTGGATAATACTATATAATGCAAACTTTAGGGTCCGAAACCTGCCCGCCTACCTATATTTTTGGAGATTGTTATTTTATTATACATAATTTAAGTTCAATATATCCTTAACTTTGAAGCTAATACAATTATGAATATCGGAAGAAAACGATTGTTGCTTTATATCTTTAAGCCGATGGAAGATATCGTTTATTTAATATGCAGTAAATTAGGTGTGCTATGCTATATTCTTCAAGGTGCTGGCGATCTATGAATAAATAACTAACGAATGATGAAATAGAACTCCGATAACTTGAGAAATGATCCTGATAGATAGAGATGAATACCAATCTAATCAGGTGAGTGAAATATTGTTCCCTAAATCTTAAAGTACCTAGTCGAAACTTTGTTTTATTTAGTCCAAACTAGTTTAGTGGACTCCTCATATTTTTAAGTAGTGCAGTCCTTCAACTAATAATGTACAAAGACGAGTTAGGCGTCATGTGAAAGTCCAAGTAATATCTCAATAAAGACTTTCCACAGTTAGCGATAAAAATACAGTCTAAAAAATATGCAATATAACTGAGATACTGTATAACTAGAATCCAACTATTGTCGCAACTCGCATAACCGCGCGTATCAATTACACAACAAACCGATAAAGTGCATAGTTTATTTACTGCTGCTAAATGCGATTACCATAAATCAATATAAAGAAAATGTAGAAAATTAGGCAGCATGCGAGGGAGTATTATATTTATAAGAAGTCTAGTAATAAAAGGAAATGAAGAATATTCCATTTGGCTAAATATCTATAAAAATTAAAATCTCAAGTCAACAAAACAAAGAAAGTAAAGTGATAATGAATAATAAAATAAAATAATTTTTGCTTTTTATAATACTATAATAAAATTTGTTAAATTTAACTATATTTAAAATTTTTGATGATATACAGTAAATGATTTAATTATATAATTGTAATAAACTGTTTTGAAAATTAATATTTTGTTTGTAAATTTATAAACTATATAAATATATTTTTATAATATAATCATAAAAAAAAAATTAAAGGAAATATTATTTATTTGTTTGTTTTAATTTTGAATTTAATAATGGTGAAATAAATATACTTATATAGTTTTTTTTTTTTTTTTTTTTTTTTTTTTTTTAAAAAAAAAATCTATGGTTAGGCCAGCATAGTCATAGTGTGTTTATTAATCTTTAAGAAAATCAATAGAGATACATTGGACAATTATATCATAACTAAACTAAATCTCATGTTGACTTACTTATCAATAGCTTTTAAATTTCAAATAAGCTTAAACCTCTAAGTATGATAAAAAGAATTTTAAAAATGTATAAATGTGTATATATAAAGAAAAAAAAAAAATAAATAAAAATGCTCCATATCTTCCAAAGGATTTTTACTAGAAACCTTTTCTCATTAGAAATTAACCCTTTCAAGATATTCTTCTTTTTTCTAACTGTCTAAAAAACTTATCTATTTATGATTTTTATTATTTTCTTATAACTGTCTAAGATACTTAACACTTATTTGAATTCAATGTTTTATTCATCACTTTCTTTCTTTCAATATTGATTTTATATCCACCTGTACCAAGCAATGACTTATAATGGACCCTAGGTTCTTATATAATCTTTTGGTTATATTATATAACAATTAATATCTTTTAGCAACTATACTTAGTTAAAGGAATTTTACTAATAAACATTTTCTATTGTTCAAAAAGTTAGATTCTTCAATAATCTTTTTGCCTTGCAATAGTAGGAGGGTTTCATAAAGTAGTGGGGATTCTCGTCAAATATGATATTATTATACAATGTCTAAAAAAATACATTTTCAATTCTAGAAAAAGATAATGGCTTATAATCTTTTGCTTTTCAGTTTTATTACCTAACCTGGATAAGAAAATAATCTCCTTCATATACTTTGCCTAATCAAAATGATAAAAAGTTAAAAATCACAGCTTAAATAAATAATTATCTTTTTATCATCAGAAAATTTAGTGCTTGTCCTAATAGTCTTATATTTTTTTGCCTTAGTTATACTTCATTTGAAGAAATAAAGAATTTCACATTAACAGGTTCTCTTTTTTTCATCAATAATATTATCAAAACACATGAAATGATCAGTAGATACTTGTTTATATTCAGTTATTAATGTATTTCATATCTACCAATTATATTTTACAATAGGTTGTATTATTTAAAATTTAAGGTCAAACTGAGGTAGGCAAAATTTTTCAGAAAACTAAAAAAATTTTTGAGTAACTATAAAAGATATAGTAAGCAGATATCTTAAAATATAGTTTGATATTTTCTATCTCTCATTGCTAAAAATCTCTATAAACATACTTCAATATGAAAGGCTTCAAGTATTATATTATTGATTTTTCTTTCTTGCAAAACTTTTTTACTATTGATAAAGAAGATATTTCTTAACTTTTTAGGTTATAGGAAGCCAATTTTTTATTTGAAATTGAATATAAACAAGAAAGAGAATTTGAAAATATCTTTTGAAGTAAAATTTCAAGTTGATTTAGAAATAATATTAAGACTTTATTAGTAAAGAAATAAAAAATTTCCTGTTATCATCTTTTTTATATATGGATAAAAGATTGGCAAAAAATTTTTTTATCAAATTATAAATATACTTATATAGTTTATAATATATATAAATAAAAATTATAATAAAAAAAATTTATTATTATAATTAAGAACTCTTTATTTTTCTTCTAATATATATAAAAAAATATTTTTAAAAAGGTATACTTTAATATTAATAAAGTTTTATTACTTTTCTTAAAAACAAATTGAAGAATAATCTTAAACACTAGTCGAAATTATGTCATTCAGCTGCCGAATTATTGCTGAATTTGGCAAAATTTAATAATAAAAATATTGACAAATTATTTACAATTGCTGCCACTCGGCATTAAAAATATTGGCAAAAAATCAGTAAAAAAATATCGGCATTCTGCGAAAAAAAAATTTGGCACAAAATCCGGTAATATTGCGGCAAAAAAAAAATTTTGCAGTAAAAAATTCGGCAAAAAATTGATACTGTGGCAAAAAAATTCGGCAAAAAAATTGGTACTGCGGCAAAAAATTCGATCTTGCTATCTACTGGCTAGTAATATAATAACTATTGCTACTAATTTTGCTCTAATGAATAAAGGCTAATTCTCTACTTCAGTTTGAAACTTGTTTTCTCTTCCTGCTTCTTCTATCTGTGTTCAAGCTACTCATATTCTCATATTTATACTTCTGTGACTTATAAGTAACTTGTAGAGTAGAATGTTATTGGTTCTTTTTTTTGCTTATTGTGATTGAATATTTTGATCAGATGGAATTGGTAGGTATCTTCTTTAACATAATCTTTGATGATATTTGTTTTTCAATTCTCTATTTTAACCTGTAGTACTCTTTTATTCTGAATAATTACTTGATTACTATATATTGTTCTACATATCATATCTCTAATATTTCTTTAGAACTTGGAATTTCCAATGATTGGGATCTTTTGATAGACTTTTTTGCATTGAGGTAGGGAACTATATGTATTTTCTCTATACTTGTTTCAATTATGTATTAGTCTTCTATATTTATACCTTTCATGTAATCTTGATATCGAGCTAGCTTTGATTCTCAATTTTTAACAGAGCAATATATTCGAAGTGCTTTATCTTAAGTTGTCTTGAAGTATTATCTAGAATCAGTTTTTCCTAAATTATCTGTTGCTATTGAAATTTGCTTCTTATAACCATCCAAAGTTTTTTTATTTGTCAAAGTTAATGTTAAGAATAGAATATTCTGGACTCCATTTTATCTATTTTTCTTTTCAAGATTCTATAAGTTGTTTTAATTTATTTTCTTGAATTATTTCAATTATAGATAGGTACTATTCTAAAATAGGTCCTTTACTTATTTTTTGAAACAGTTGGAATATTCAACAGTTTCATATTTCTTTTGTTTTATAGTTGACTAGTTGATCTATTTATATCAATTTATTGTTTCTGGGTGATAAAATTGCTTTTTTGTACTTTTTATCAGCAAGTATTCTCTAATTAGACTATTTCCTTGATTCTATCTAAAAATATCATTCTATTTCCAGCTTTAAAAGATTATTCCTATGTTCTTGGTCAGCTTCAGTACTTATAGTGAGAAGTCATCTTTTCCTGAAATATTATTTAATAAGTTACATGTAAGTATATTAACAGGCTATCAGTATCTGACTTGTGCTTATTTGAGTCTAATAATTGCTGTGATTCTGGTTGGTCCTGGATCATTTAATATATTAAACAATCTTATTGTCTGGCTTTCTTTCTGTAATTTCCAAATACTCTTTAAGCTATAAATTTTGGGATAATATATTACACTATTGAGTATTGATTTATATAATATAGCCTTATTTTTGAATAGTTTTTTGTATGCTCTTGTTAAAATGTTGCAAATCTTTCAAGATGGTATACTGTGTTGCATTTTGAATTCAATTTTTAATATTAGCACTCTATTCAAAATGTAAAGAGCTAGTTTATCTATTAGCTTTTTATTCTTTAGGATTCTAGTAACCATGTTAATTTTCTTAAGCATCCATTCTTTGAGCTTAATAGTCATTTTTTGATTGCCTGTCCAAATCTCCAGAAACCTTGCTTGTTTGGTTCTATCCAATTCTCTCACTACTTCTTTATTGACTTCTGCTTGGACTTCTTCCAGATACTG